TCAGAGCATAATTAACTGGAAAAATTGAGAACTCCATACTTGGCAATAGCAATTGAAGTACCTTTGAAAGAGCTCCACTTCCTCTCCTGTCCTTAATGAGGGTAGCTGCAATTAAACGACATTAAAATCTGGCAGTTTCATCCTCTTTAACAGATCAATTGTAATTCAGACAACATTGGTACCAGTTCTCAAAACCCATCTTTGTAGCTGAGAGCGCTGGAGCCTGGAATGATATACAAAGATAAAAACAAGTTGCTCTTGAGTTTAGAAAGGAAAAGAGGAAATACTGTTAAGCTCCATGAGATCATGACAGGTATATAAAGAGTTAAAAAAAAAAAAAGAACTTCCTGCAGGTCCTCAGTATGACTAGAATATTTGGGAAGATGGAGGAAGTGCTGAGTCATGGCCCAGGCAGTGAAATTACAACATACCAGGAAGTGACAGAGGGGACAAACTCCTAGACACTTGGAGCTCAGGATGCCAGCAGGCCTGTTCCACTGCTCTTACAAGGGAATGACTGGAGCCATTGTCATTTCTTCTAAGGTCTCTCTCAGACTGACTCCTTGTCATCATCCAGAGACCAAAGAGCTCAAGGTGCCCTCAGGTGGTGGTCTCTATAGGTCATGTTAACACTTCCTGTTCCATGTGGGCCCTTCACTGTGAGCGTGTCCCAGACTCTCTCCACTAAGAACCTATAGTAAGTTGAATGGCAGCCGCCAAAAGATATATCTACATCCTAACCCTAGAACCTGTAATATGACCTCATCTTGAACAAAGATCTATTCAGAGGTAATTAACTTTAGGATCTCTATATGAAAAGATCATTCTGGATTACCCAGATCATCCCCAAATCCAATCATGGCTGTCCTTATAAAAATCAGAAGAAGAGACACAGACATACAAGAGAAGGCCATGTGAAGACAAAGACAAAGGCAGAGATGGGTGTGATGTGGCCACAAGCCCAGGGATGCTGGAGTCACCAGGACCTGGAAGAGATAGAAAGTATCCTTCTCTGGACCTTCAGAAGACACGCAGGCCTGCCTTGATTTCAGACTTTTGGTCTCCAGAGCTGTGAGAGAATAAATGTCTGTTGTTTTAGGCCATGCTACACAGTTGGTGTTTTATTATGCAGCCCCAGGATGGCAACAGGAGCCACTCCTCACCCAGGAGCCCAGCGGAGCAGAAACACCTGCTGAGTTGTTCTCTGGGTCTCTCTTCCTTTGGTGGTGAGAATGGAGTGTGGAGAGGACAGGGGTCTCTGCCAGGCCCTCAGCTCCAGACACCCCACCTTCCTGGGCAGAAGCAGAGCTGAGACCAGACACTGACCATCTACTCCAAGGCTGCCAAGAGTGCTCCCAAAGGCCAAGGTCTCACCTGCACTCACAGAACCAGTCAGGTCTCTGAGAATCCTGGTTGGCTAACTGCTGTGTGTAAGGCACTGGGCAGGCTGAACCCCAGCTCAGAATATTAAAAAGGCCTCAATGTGAGCAAGCAGCTTGTTCCCACCTCACGCTCACGCTCATGCCTGTGACACTCCTGAATGCTGAATCCATGGCCCAGACTCATGCCTGTCTCAAGATCATCACTCAACAAACTTTTGTGCAACCACAGTCTTTAAATGTTATGTAACCCTACTCAAGGAAAAAAAACACAAACTATGTGTACCATTGGCACCTTAAGCATAAAATTGGGGCCAAAAATCCAAGTGGTAAATCACTGAGGTTTTAAGTTTTCAACACACATAAAGGTAATTTAAAAATCATTCTTCACACCATTTTAAGTGTTTTCTAAAGCCCAGTTTGTTCTTTTTGATGACCATCTGAATATAGGTTTCCTGCGTGGTCAGGAGATCCTCCACTTGTTTCCTGCCACCTCATACACTGAATTAAAGGTTGAGGGGTGCTGCCCCTTTAGACGTGGCTAGGAGACCCCCTTACTCCATCTCACCTTATTCCAAACACCCGACTAACAGTAAATGGAAGAACTCCACACAGAAACCACTTCACCTTTGTGCTTTGTTATTTATTGATGACGTTCAGTAAACAGAGAAAATGAAATATTAAGTAACTACCTATTCTGAGAAAAGAATTCCAGAACATTTCATGAATCCTCAAATAAGATCAAGAGGATGATATGCTAACCACAAAGTAACTCAGATTAAACAATAAATACTTCATTTCATCATGGCTTTAGCATTAAAGTATATTTCCCACACTGTCTATATGTTATTCAGATATTACTACATTTTCTGAAGTCATTTGTATTGATGTAATATTGTTTTGCCCCCAAACTGACCCTTTAAGGGTATGGACATGACTCATTAAGGCAATTAATTCTTCCTCATCCTCCCCATGTGCTGGTCACTCCGAAAGTGTAGAGACATGCAGCAGAAAATGTTCGTCCAGACACATAAGTGGAATTCTCATTGAATGTTTTTTTTTTAGAATTTATCATCAAAATGCATCCTTCACCAACAGATACCCAAGTCAATTTATAAGAGAAAAGCCGATGGGCTCATTTGAGAATAAACACAGTGTTGGAGTTCTCTGACTGCTAGAAACCCCCAAACTGGACTCACCTGTTGCCACATAGGACCCGTTTCTGCGGGGGTTGGGGGAGTGGGTGAAGCGTTCCACTATGCGGATGCTGAGAGTCACAGGAAGTGATCAGGAACAGGGAGGACAAGGCCCCCTCCCTCCATCTTCCCTAAAGCCTCCTCCTGGCACCCACTTTGGCAGAGTCTAAGGGAGAGAAAGTGGCAATGCAGATAAGGGTTTTGTAGGACCCTGATTCATGCAGCATAAGGTAGAGCGGGGGGGCGCGGTGTTGAAGCTGAAAGTCAAAAGCTAAATACCTGGCATATCCCTCTTTGTATTATTTCTGCCTTGTACAATAGTCTGGTGTTTGCATGTGTTTCACTGAACTGCATGATTTACCATAGACACTTATCTCAGATTGTCCACTTCTTATAGTGGTCCTCCACAAATGTTAAGGAAATACATTTTTAAAATAGGAAAAAGGAAGGGGTGTGGGGCGGAATCAGGAGCTCCTGACAGCTGCCTCCCAGCCCTGACTGCTGCAACACAGTCCCCTGAACCTGGGGGCACAGGAGCAGAGGGCTCTGAGGGTTTGGGAGGAGGGTGAGAAGGAAGGTTAGGTCAACAAGTCTGTCTGCCCCTGCCCAGCATGCAAACTATGGAACTGGGAGCCCAGGTTCTAATCCTGGATTTATTACCCTGTGGCTAAGTGACCTTAGACAAACCACTTAACTCAACCCTAGAGATAATGTCACACAGTCTTCAGCTAGTAAAATGATCACCGATGCCTTCCACCACCTCGCCACCACAGCGATAATGCGTTTGCTGGCAGTGAGGCACAGGCGCTGATGAAAGACAGGGTCGGGCTCAAATTCTTCATTTTTATGGCACTTCTTTCTTGGCCAAAGCCTAAGGTACACACACTACCCCTGGACCTAGGACCCAGGTAGACTGGCAGCACATGCTTAACTACTATAAGCTTCCTCTTTTGTGAAACCTCGGAAAAGGGGCTTAACTGATATCTTTGGCATTTTCCTGTGGTGAGTAACATCAGGAGCGCAATGGTGCATCTACTCAAGGGACAAAGCCCTCCTCCATCCAGAGTGTGGGTCTCTCCTAGAAGCTTTGGGTCAATGCACTGATGGGCCCTTATTAAAATGTGACTATTCCCTGTATAGGAGTTTAAGTTCACACACATATCTGTCGATTAACTGTAGGTCCAATTAGGAGCTGGGATTAGGCTGCTATCAGTCAGCTTGTACCCAACAGAAGGGACCAGAGGTCTCTTTTGGAGGACAGGGAGAGCCCCAGAACATGGAAGAGGTGTCCTGGAAGAAACATCTTGGCAGCCTTGAGCAGCATGAGGCATTGGGAGGGGCTCTGAAACTGGGGGCTAGAGAAGGGTGCTTAGAGGAATAGAGGCTGAGGATGGGGAGCTTCCTGGACTCCTTTTTGGTCATGGCGTGTCATGTTCTCAAAGCTGGTAGACAATTGGGGGCCAGGAGCCCTAGGCCTCTCTACGCAGTTTTTCTTGCATGAGGCCAGGAGTGAAGGAGCTAGTGCAGCCAAGAGCCCTGAACTCTGGAGCAGCTCTGTAGACAGCCTTGGGTAACAGTAAAGTTCAAGGTGACATTTAATAAAAAGCAGCCTAAGGACTCCTGGGTCTAGGGATGTGTTAAGTTTCCTCCCTTAGACTCACCCCATACCCAAAATTGTATTTTTCTATAAGGATGGTTCTGGAGAGTGCTGGTAGACCCAAAGGGTTTTCAGAACATTTGAGAAACTTTCCCCTGAAGTCTCTGTGGGCAGGTTGTCTGTTGGGCATTTTGGGTGAGTTGATGTCCCTTTAATGAACAGATTTTTGCCTATTGACCAGTGACTTCCAGTGCACACATTGTTAGAAACCCTGAATACATGAAACTTTCTATCTAGGATGTTGTGTGGGCAACTATTTGCCAATGGATGTTTTTAAAAGGTATTTCTAGTAGGTAGCTTTTATCTTTAATAATATAATTGATTGAGGGCTGATAGGAAGTCATGGGAGATAGAACACTGTTTGGTCTAAATTTCAAATAGTTTTGGAGGAGCTCAACATAAATATGCCATTTAGTATTTTCAGCTTCTTCCATCCCACACATTTAATTTCCTTTGAGGGTTTTACTAACAAATCATCCTTGCATTGGCTCAGATCTGAGGAGTGGGTTATCGCTCCTAAGCTATTATCTCATCCTTTCTGCTTCTTACTGTCACTTGCTATTTGGAAGACTATGTGAAGTAAATTCCTATATGTTTAAAATATGTATGCATGTAGATCTGGTTCTTTGGAAGAAGGATGCCACTATAATTGTAACTGAATGTGATTAAGTTTGTGTTATAATTTTAATCACTACTGGTTGTAAAGCACCAATTTCAAAATGCACAGCTATGATAAAAATCAGTTTCTAAGAAAAACACAAAAAATAATTCTTATCTGTGTTGCATTTTTATTTTATCCCATTCCTACTTAGGTGAACACCACATTAATAGTATTTAATATTTATGGGACAATGGTAACCAAACTCTCAATTAAAGTAAATGATTTGATTAATGAAATATTAATGAAAATGACAGTAGAATTCAACCAAATGGATTTGAGGTGTTTTTATCTCCTATTCTCAACTCAGTGAGAGCCCCCCCCCCCCCCCCCCACCATCATGCATTTCTCCGCTGAAATTCCATCATGCAGGGGTAGAAGAGTCTGTCCATCACCTGGGATAGAGGAGGAAATGAAGCAGTCTGCTTCTGCAGCAACAAGACCACAGAAAATACAGAAATCCTGTTAGATTTCCAGCAGGTCACACTCCCCACTTATGGAGTCCGGTTATAAACTGCATTAGCTGCACCGATTGTTAGGGTTACCCAGACATTCAATTTCAGAGCTTCTCAGAAAGGATGGCATGGTTTGGGATTATTTGCTCTTGCTTACTGAAAACAAGAGGAAGTAAAACTTCTTCCACAGTTTAGAAATTAAGGGTTAAGGTCAAAGTCTGGGCCATGGTAGCCTCTATTCCCATAAGTTTGATAACAAGGAATGTCTTCCTGCTGCCAGCGTGGATGCCTCAGGGATCCAGATGAGCTGGGTTAGAGTTTTCCTGAAGGGTGCCCCACTTCAGTGCAAACACTAATCATGAAATAAGTCTTCAAATAGACAGCTGTCATCTTGCACTAGAAAAAAATATGCTGCTGAAAGCAAAATGAAATAAGTTTAAAAATAAACTAGACTTACATGACAAAAAGTTAGAAGTTATTAATTTCCAAAAGAAACATGTGCACATAATAAACATAGTTTTTTTTTTTTTTTAGTTGTACAGTGGCAATTACATACTCAAAGAGTTAAAATATAAACCTTACTACATGCCTACACTTAAAAGTACTGTCCTTAAAACACAAGTTCTTATCAGAGGTCTGCATGGTTCTTGGCAAACAAGACATTCTACCTTTTAAACAAATAATTCATTAGGTAATTAAATTCAAGTGAGATTACTTTAATTAAATATACACTGCTGTTGAATCATAATTTCTATGCAGTCTAGTTAAAGATGAACAATCTCTTATTCCTGACAAAAAGAAAAAAAGAAAGTAAGAGAATTCCCTGGTGGCTGGAAGGATAGATTTACACCCCTCACCCCCTGCCCCCAGAGGTCATTTCAAAAAGAAATAGATGCCAATACCTCCCTGAGAGGTGGTGGGGGGAGGGGTCCTCATGTCTGGAGATTCCAGAAGTTTGAGCTGTATGCTCTGGGTTCCATTGAAAAAATCCACACTTGTGGAACCAGGCAGGAAGTCACTCACAAGGGCCCTCGTCGGGTCCTAGGTTATCTGCATGCTTGTCCACAACCTGGCATCCAGGTGGGAGCCCTGCACATATTCAGCCCATGCCCACGAGGCCCCGAGCTCAAAGCACTGGAGGCCAACGCTGGCCCAAAGACCACAGGACTTGAACAAAATGAAGTCAGTTGTCTCCCATGCAGGTGGCCAGGCTCCCTCCAATGGCATCCGGAGCCACAGCCAGGACTGTGCTCAGGGGGCACAGAAGTCCCCGCTGGCTTTGATCTTGGAGTCCCAGCTACAGAGAGCTGACAGAGAGCCCCGCTTTCATTTGTCAGACACGCGTTTCCTATTGCTGCGGAGGAGGCAGTACACCTGTACTGCCAGCATTTACAGCGCGTTGCTCCGGGATGGCATTGATTTGGGAAGGGTGAAATACAAACGCAAACTAATTAAACACTGCATAATGGAGCCCTACAGGAACACCGGAGAAAAACAAATAAACACGAGTGCAGCTGGTGCAGCGATGGTACCTCTGCCCTGGAGCAACCGTCTGGTGACATCAAATTATAAACCCCGAAAACCCTCACATTGTCGCAGTTGATCATATTGGAGGCACAATGGAAATGATCTGGTTAATTATGGGGAGGTTTATAAAATATTTACGTGCGCACACGCATGTAATTCACTTCCTCCGACACTCACCAGGGCACTGCAGGCCGGGCCACTGCGTCCCTTTCTCTGCCTTGCAACGGTGGGAAACTCCCGTGGGTTGGGAAATCTCCAGGCTCCCAGGCACACTTTGCGCGTTGGCTCGCCTGCCTTCCGCCTTCCGGGAGCCAAACCCCACTCTATTGAAGCACTGCTCCGAGAGTCTGACCATCCGTGTCCTTCCCTTCTGGGCCTTTTTCCGTTTCATGTTTTCCTGGAGCCTCTCGGCATCTCCTCCCGCCGGCCCCACTTGACTCTTCCCTCCGAGGCATGCCCGTCTGGGAGCGGAGGTCTCCGCAGTGTTGCAAGTTCAAGGCGCTACTCTAGGTCAGGATGCTCCAGAGGCGTCGTGGACACGCCTCCCCCCACCCCCAACCCCCGCCCCCAGCTTGGCGTGGCAGGAGAACACTGTCTGGGCACCCAGGGGTTGGGCTGAGGGCCACCGGATCATTGCATCCAGCCGACCCTTTGGGCACCTGGGTTACAGCTGCGTGCTCCTTGCAGGTCATTGCTGACTGTTTGGCACTTGCCTCGCTGTTGCTGAGCCGGTGGCTTCCTGGGTCCTGCAGGAGAAAGGTGCAAAGTCCTAATGAGTATTTAACAAGAGTCATAAATCGCTCAAGTTGGGGCGGAGGGCCTGGCGGGGTCTGGAGGCCCGGGCCAGTCAAGGCGCCTAGCCCACCATCCTCACAGCAAGGAACGGCCATTTGAATGGCAGGCGACCCAGGCCACAGCGCTGCCGCCGCACCCGGGAGGGTCTGCGTTGCCGTTCTTGGTGTTAAAGGCAGGTCCCCCGCGGTGGCTCCAGGGAGTGGGCGGCCCCCCTTGAGCTGTCTCCTATTCTTCAGACCTAGGTCGTTGGAGCTTCAAAACAGTGAATAATTATTTTATAATAAATAAAATTGTAAATGAGGATGCTGTTTGGTTTGTTTCATTTCATTCTTATGTAAATACACCACGGGGTTGTGGTGGGAAGGAAGCGGAGACTGCACTGAGAAGCTGGGGACAGAAACGGACACTCTTTTTCAGAGTTCTGATAGCAACACCCTCCTCTTTAGACAACTACCCCCGCCCCAGCCCCATAAGGAGCAAGTAAACTTTCCACCAGGTTTTGAAACCAATTTAACAGTCAACTTGATTCAAATGCGCTTTGTTCACCAACCCTCCCTGAGCCCCACTCCCACTCGCCAAGGCCTCAGGGCTTCCTCCCTTGCCCACCACAGCCCCTCCCAGCTTCCCTCCTGGCTGAGGTCTGCACATTACACGCAACCCTGCGCACCCATGGGTGCCTCCGGGGCCCACATTCTAGCAGGAGCGCACCAAGAATCCAGGCTTTCCAGCTAGAAAGTCTGGGTCAACTGCTACTGTCGAGCTGAGCTCCGCGGGGCCGGGCCGGGGACGGGGGCCACCTGCCAACGGCCCAGGAATGGAGGTCCTTGAGGAGCACCAAGCTCCCAGACCCGCCGGGACGCTGGCCCTGCGGAGCTCCGATCAGATCGCGCAGCGACCCCTAGGTCTCCGCTGCACCGCTGGGCAGCCCTGCCTCTGTCTCAGTGACAGCCGGTGGCGATAGGAGGGAACCGCTCCAGACCCGTGGTTGGGCCGGCTGGAGGGATCCCGTGCCAAGTGGCAACAGTGGCTGAGGGTCTGAGAAGCTGGCCTCTTCAGTTCCCTCACCCAGAGCCACACTCTGGAGGCCATGGGTTTTCAGACAGTGGGACGCTGGAGCCCTGCTACTCATCCCCCTCCAGTGCCTGAGGGTGAGCAGGACCCAACTCCTCCCTCCTACTTGCCCGGCAGCACTGAGGCCAGCAGAGGGATGGCTGGACCCGAAAGGGTGGAGCTGGTGAAATGGACCTGCATGAGGAGTACAGTGAAGTCAGGCCAAGATCCCTGGCAGGAGCCTCTCTCCTGGCTCGGCACCCCGGCCTTCCTCAGCCCTACTTAGTCACGTGATGATTAAAACTGAGTAGAGGGCTTACTTTCCGGAGGACAGGGTCCTTGGCAAAGCTGAGCCACCAAGTTCTCAGTCCTTCTCTGCCCTGCCCCCTCTCCAATAGGATGCTTTGGAGGCAGTTTTTTTACAACTTCCTAGTCCTCTTTGTGGAAGTTTTCTGATAAAGGGCCAAAGAGAAAGAAGGGAAGCGGTGATCTAAGTCACCAGGGTCTGCTAGGATCCCAGCCCATAGCCTTGGGCGGAGAATGGCCACATTTGCTGCTCTGGCACCTCTCCATGGCTCCCTTGGGGCAAGTCCAGTCCTTTCTAATTTTAATTTCCTCCGTAACTGGCTAATCCTCAAGCTGGTTTCCAGAGGGGTTTTCCCCACTCACCTCCCAGGTGTCTCCAGGAACCTACAATCATTTCATGACCTGAATGGAGGTAATACATGCAGAAGCATGGTGGGGAGGCATTGCTGGGCTGGTGAGGGTCAGGACAAAGCCTCCTCTGATGGCCCCTCCTCCGACACGTTCTGATAGCCACCGGGTGCCGGATGTCAAGGTGGACTTTTGGGGGGTAAGGTGGGAAGGAGATGATCAATCCTGTGGCTGGATCCTGACACTGGTTTACATTCCACCTCATTCTCCTGGTCACACAAGAGGGCTTATCTCACCCGTGTTTACCTGTTGCCCTGAAATGTGACACTGGAGTTTGCTAAAGGGAACAGAGGTGGAGCTGGCCCTTTGGTTTGTTTTGGATGCTGGGGAGAAAGGGTTGGGTGCCTGGAGGTGGGCTGGGGAATAGGAGAGAGCTGTGGTTAGGGACTTCCCAGAGCAGGAGTGCCAAGCGCCTACCCCTGCCTCCAGAATCTGTCACAGCAGGAAAGGAGCCCAGGCAGTTGCAGGGTATTTCTGGAGAGAGTTGGGGCTCCTGGGGTGAAAATGGGGGCAGCAGCATGAAGAAGAATAAAGCCTGACTCTGAGCAGAGAAATTACAGCCTCATTACAGAGCTGGTGATGACATTACTATTATGGGCAGTGGCTCTGTGTCTGTCCTCAGACCCCAAAATGGAGAAACGGGAGCCATCCCAATGCTGCCAGAGTCCCTGGGCTTCCATGATCCCAGCAGTTGATGTCCAGGGTATGGGTGGCCCAGGTCACCTGCAACAGAGCATGCTGGGGACCAAGCGCAGACGTCAGCCTCAATCCCACAGCTCCAAACGGCACAAACGGAGTACAACACCAGAGTCCAGTGAATGAAATTCCTGCAGGTTCCACCGGCAGCTGGGAGCTCTGGCTTCTGCGTGGGAGATGCGGTGCAAAGTGGCCCCAGTAGCCCGGACCGGTACCCTGGACACGCTCCCCATCTGGGCCATGGGAACCAAGCCAGCGAGTAAAGCTCAGTAGCTGCCTGCCCAACCCGTCCGAACAGAGGGAGCTCAGGAAGACCTTGCACTCGGCATCTGAGCCCTAGAGCGGCCAAGCCCCTGGCCACCGGGAGCCAACCAGCAGTGCTGGGTCCTGCCTCATAGGCTCTCTCTTTCCTCAGGGCAGAGGGTGGAGATGGACATCCTGTCCTTGGCCTGGTTGCCTAGCCGCCTCAGGCCAGCGTGCTCTTCTTAAGTTTACTTCCTGCACACCCAGGGGACAAAGGAGGGGCGCCCAGGCCACTTAGGCTTTTCTCATCACCAGGTTGGGCACTTGGAATGTTTCCCTTGCGCTGCTGCTGTGATGCAGTCTCTGTTAAGAAAAGGTCTCTCGCCCCCAAGAAACCGCTACCATAGACGGCATCTGCTTCCCCCAGCAAGTGGCTTCTCAGCTAGGGTTCCCTTTCGCAAAGTTTCCACAATAGAGAAAGGTTGCAGAGTTTGGCCTCTTCCCGCTTCTCCAAGTACAGCACGGTCGGTCATGTCCATATGACTTAGTACCTAGTGGGGGCCCCTGGGACGCCAGAGCGCATCGGATGGCACGCCACGCCGGGTTAGTGGCACATGAGGGCACCTGGGTGCACTTCTGCCAACGACTTCCAGGAAAGCAAAGGCAGCTCCAACTTCGGAAGAGAGGCCGCTCCCCGTCGGCTGGCTGTCACCGCGCCCGGGCCAGCCCCTTCCGCGGAAAAGCAGGAGCCAAGATGTTTTTATGAAACAGCAGACACACCTCGGCTGCGAAACAGCAAACCCCAGTGTCCGACAACTGTAAACCGGTGTCGACAGGTTGTCAGACAGCCGCGGGGGCTGGTCGGGAAAGA